TAAAAGCACACACAAGAACTAGTAACTTGTACTAACCTGGATCACGCTTGCCCGACGCGGCAGACCCGCCCCCACACACTCTCTCTCACTCACCTTAACTTTTTGGGCGTCCTGGGCGCGAACTTGGGGCTGTAGAGCACGAGCAGCCACGAGGTGGACGCGCCCTCCTCCACGTGCGAGTCCACGCACTGCGCCGTCGAGTGGCGGTGCTTGGCCCGGCTCACCACCTGCCGGAACAGCGTGGCCACCTGCAGCAGCTGCGAGTACCTCCGCACCACCTCCGTCAGCTTGTACTTGACCACCGCGCCGCCGCTGCTGCCTCCGCCTCCGCCACCTCCTCCTCCTCCGCCGCCTCCGGATCCCGTGTGGGGCGCCATCTTGCTGGCTCGCTGGGGGCGCGACTTGGCCGACAGAGTCCTTACGATTCTCTCTTTACTAGTCCTTACTTTGTCTGAACTCGACGAAACCGTTGCAACGCAAACCAATGGATGTTCTTATTATATTTTCCTAGTTATTTCTCTCTTTTTTTCTTTCTTAGTCTAAGGCCAAATGGCACCACAACGGTTGTGTGGAGGCGTGTCCCGTGCCGCCACACACAGGCTTCCGCTCGCCTCCACCAAAAGTCCACATGTTCCAGAGAGCCGTCCACTCAGCATCCACTTCGAGAAGGGAAGATGCTGCTGGAATCCGTTCAAGACAACTTTTTAAAATCGTCTTAGTCTTTTGTCTTTTTTTTTCTTTTATCTTTTTCTTCAGTGCCTTTTTCAAACAACGTTTAATATACGCGATCAAGAACGACCAGCTCTCACAAGTGTAATTTCAAAAATAAATCTGAAATTTGAAGAAAACACTGATAATGATTTAAAAATACATACACACACTAAAAGTCGCGACGAGAACAAGAAAAAAGTCAAAGCACAGATCACACGCCCCTCCCTCCCCCCCACCCCTCCCTCCCCTTTCACCATCGCACAAGCGGCAATAAAAAGAATAGGTAAGGAACAGTAGTAGTAGTTAAAGAAGAAAAATAAGATAACAAGTAGCAGAAGAAGAAAAGAATATAGAAGAAGAAAAGGAAGCAGAAGATAAAAAGAAGCGAAAAAAAATCACCAATCATTAGATATGAATCATAGCAACTCCATTCCACCCCCTACCCACCCACCTACCCTACCACCTAACACCCCACCCCCAACCAACCCCCTTCCCCTGCGTCTCCTCCAGGCAAATCACCCGCAACCGGTCCCGGATATTCGTTGCAGCGGAGGGCGGCGGCCGGAGTAGGCGCCCCGACCGGCCTCCTCCTGAGATCGCGCTCTCGACCAGCGTTGAAGTCTCCGATAAGTCTTGAGGCTGGGGAGGGGGTAAAGGAGTGAGGGGTGAAGGGGGAGGGTAAGGGAATCGTACAGAGTCGTCATATGCTGTGTATATTGTCCGAGGTTTTCAAATATCTACAAAGCGAATGAAAAAGAATATATTCATAAATGAATATCGCGAAACTAATATAAACCATATTATGTAAAAAGAAGAAAAAAGAAAAAAATATATATATAATAATAAATAAATAATAAAAATCCTAAAATCAAAGAACACCCCCCCATGACCTCACCGATAAGAATGACGCAATCCAGTTCGTTATCTGTACACGCCAACGGTCGATTACGGTTCGGTGCCATGACGTCCTCCGGACCGCTTAAGGAAGTGAAGGAAGACAGTAAGTGACCGGCACTTCACTCTCGAGCCCAAAAGAGGGGAAAATGGGACTCGCTTAAAAATCATGCAACGCTCTTTTTCCTTTCTACTTTTGCTCCTCCCTCTTTCACTCGCTCTTCATCATACTTTTCAATTTCTCCCTCCCTCTTTCGCTCTCCCAATTATCTCTTTCTGTTGCTCCCTCTCTCCCACCCTCTCTCTGTTTCTGTCTCTCACTCTCCCTCAACCTCAACCTCAACCTCAACCTCATCTCCTCTCTCTCTCTCTCTCTCTCATCCTTCCCTCCTACCCCTCAAAACAAACACCCACCACATAAATCTTTCGAACATACCATACCCACATACCACCACCACCACCCGACCGAAACAACAGACCCACCGAGAACGCCATGAAGAGCAACACCACCGCCACATAACCATCCCCCCCTCCCCCTCCCGCCCCCGCCCGCCCACCCCACCCGTAACTACAGTGCAAAATGCATTACGCAACGAACAAACCCCCATAATAAAAGGCCAACCACAGCGACGGCCGCGACACAAACCTAATAAAGGCGCGTGAGATGACACTCTTTTCCCCGTCGTGTTTACCGGCCGGCCTAACTGCGGCATCAGGTGGGCGCGGCGACATATATGGGCGGCGGACACATTGCCTCTCGCTCGCCCACCTGCGACCCCGCTCGTAACGTCAATCGAAAAGCGGCGAGTGGATCCCGTAGAGTGTTGCGTCTGGTTTATGTACGGGATACCCGCTCGTATTTTTGCTTTTTCCTTCCTTCTTTCTTCTTTCTTTTTTCTTTTTTCAATCCTTCTTTTGCACTTTATTTCTTTAACATTCTTATTTTTCGCTCTAAAAAAATCGCTACTTTCTTTTTTCATTCTTATTCTTCGTTTTTTATTTCTTTGTTTTCGTCTTTTACTTCTTGAAGACGGAGGAAGTGTTGCTCCTATTTCTTGCAGGATACCCGCTGGGAAAAAAATATTCTTAACCATTCCCCTTTTATTTCTTAGAGAAGGCGGGTGTATTTTCGTGTATGTTTTATCTTTTCTTTCATCTTCTCTCAGTAGAACATCTGGCGCGACTCTTGCGTCCTCATAAATGGACGGCGGAGGCTTGTCCTTGCCATGCGTCTCAAGGTAAGAACGATCCGTATACTGGTTTCGGCTTTATTGCTCAGGGCGCAAATATTCGTCGTAAAAACGTTATCTCATCTGCAGAGCACATATTTACTCGCCCCTTCGTAATTTTCCTTCTTCTCTATTAACTTCATGTCTGTACATCTTCTGTCATATATCATCTCCCCCTTTCTTTCGTTATTCCCTTTCTCTACATCTCTCCTTTCTCCATCCATTCCATCCTCCTTCCATCGCCCTCATTCCCAGCCCCTTCTCCTCTATTTCCCACAAAGCGAGTACCGCATGACACCTGCCACCGCATGACACTTGCCAACGCATGACATCTGCCGCCGCATGTCTGTCTTCCCGCGTCGCCCGAGCCAGCACCTCATGACCGGCCGTCACCCCGGGAGTCATGCATGACAGCGCCGCCGTCATGATCCGAGCCGTCGCCGCTTCCCCGCCGTCATGGCCGTCGCCACGGTCCGTCGTCGCCGTGGTCGAAGCTGCCGTTGAAGTTGCCAACCGCACTCTGCATTTCCGTCAGAGGGCGACGTCGAGGGCGCAGAAACGGCGACCGACTGGGCGATCGGTGCTGCGGTGCTCTTCCGTTGGCGGCCGTTCTCTCTCGCTCCCCTTTTCCCCCTTCTCATTTTTTCCTGCTCCGCCTTCGTAGGGTCCACCCACACCATATTCTCCTTCTTTCTTTTAGTCAGCGCATATGCTTCTTCCTCTTTCCTGTTCCATGCTGCCTCTTTTTCTTCTCCCTTTTCATCCTTTTCCATCCTCTTCTGCTTCTTCTTCTCCCTTCCTCCTCCTCCTCCTTCCTCCTTCCTCCTTCTTCTCTTCTTCGTCATCCTCCAGGGCCGGGGACGTCAACCAGGTGACTCAGCGCCCCATGACTCCGCCCGCAACGACTCCCAACCGTCTCGCTCCGCCCGCCACGCCCACCGCGCGCCAGCAACGTTCTCATCACCTGCTCGCCTTTACGCAAAATACGCGTAACGAAACTCCGCATTCTTTCGCTCTCTCTTCTTTTTCCTTCCCTCTCTCTCTCTCTCTCTCTTCTCTCCGATTCATTCTCTCGCTCACTTTATCCTCCTCTCCTCCTCTCTCTCTCTCTCTCTTTCTTTCCAGAGCGATGTCGGTCAGCGTGTTGACGTCTCGTGACGCAACGACGTTTTCCGGCGCACGATGAGCGCATCGCCCCGCCGCTGCATTCCGACTCCCACGCCCCTTCCCTCCTCCCCCTCCGTCCCTCCCCCATTCACTTTCAACCCTCCGATCCTTGTCCTCCGTCGCTCCTATTACCATCCCATCCTCCTATTCCAATCCCTTGTCCCTATTCCCTCCCCATCCCATCCGCCTATCCTTCATCCCAAATCCCATCCCACTCCTTCCTCCTCTTTTCATCCCATCCCCTTATCCTCCTCCAAACCTTTATTCTTATTCCCATCCCATTCATCTACCCCTATTCCTTATTCCTATTCCCATCTTCTCCCTTCATCTCCATCCCATTCCCCTCCCACAACGCAACCCTGAGATTCTCACTCCTCCTCTCTCGGCGATTCCTTGGCACGTGTCTTTTCAAAATTACCTTCCCCTAGCTATCCCCCTCTCCTCCCCCCTCCCAACTCAACCCCTCCCTAAAGCGTCTTTCAAATTTCTTTTCCTTTTCGGCCTTACAACCTCTCAGCCTCCATCGAACTCACAAGGAAAATACTCTTATTGAAGCTTCTCAAACAATATTTTACTATTAAAAAAAAAAAAAAAAAAATAGACACACACATACACATATATATAATCATTGCCAGGTTGATTTTCCACTCTTGCCTCCTTGGGTGTCGACGAGCCCCCGCGATCCTCAATTTTTCTCTTTCACCTCACCCGCGATCTTAGTTGGTACTCGTACGCCCCTTCCCCTCCCCCCTCCCTCCCTCCCTCCGCCGATACCAGAACTCGGCGCTCCTCCAGATCTCCCCGGGCGAGCGAGGTGGGAACCGCGGCCTAATGACGCCCATCGCACCAGTACATCGCACTCTCTCGGGGATACACTGTACTGTACCGTGTCTTCGGTTTGCCAAGAGCTCGGAGGTCTCTTGTAACAGCGATCTTACTTTCTGCTTGTTTGTCTATCTTACGCAGGCACGCATGCACACGCACGCAGGCACGATGCACACGCACGCACGCACACGCACACACAACACACACAGAAAACAAAATCCCAAAACAAAGGGCAAGCACAAGATACAAAGAGAAAGACCGAAACAGAGAGAGAGGAAGAGAAAAACATGAAGCAACAGCAAAAAATGGAGACATTATCTAACCGACAACACAAGAAAGACCCTCCAACACAGCAAAAATCAAGCAAGGACCATGCCTGGCGACCGCGGCGAGCAGGGCGGCCTCAGCGGGAGCAACAGACCGCGGAGCAAACACGCCAGACCGAACCGAACTGGACCCGGGGGGGGGGGGGGGGGGGAGGAGGCTCTTCCTCGCGCGACGCTCTGTCTTCTACCATGGGAAAAGAGGAGGGGGAAGGAAGGAAGGAAGGAAGGGGAGGAAGAAAACGAAAATGGGAAAAGAGGTGAGGGGAGGAAGGAACGAAGGAAAGAGGAGGAGAAAGAAAACGAAAAGAAACATGATTCCTGACCATCATTGTTTCTTAACATCTAAAAAATAATAATAATCAATCAGCTGATAGAGATAAACAACACAATTAAAAACGTTCGTAACAATACTAAACAAATCCAATAAAAAATAAAGAAAAAATATCACAATCAGAACCAACGCTCCTCCCATTACATCACGAATCTTTAAGAGAAATGAAAACACCCGTAAAATCTAAACGCAAGGAATAGCAAGAAAGAAGGCAAAGCAAGGAGGAAGGAAAAGCGTAACGCACGACACCTCGCCTCTCGTAATCCAAGCCGGGTTTCGACGCTTTCTTGACCCCAAGTCGACGCTTCTCTCGACTTATGTTTTTTTTCTAAATCTCTCTCTCTCTCTCTCTCTCTCTCTCTCTC